AACAAACTAAAAACAATCACCACAAGGAGACAATCAGATAAATTTGAACATTTACTAGGTTTTTTTAAATTTTTAATGATATTAAAGAACTATTGTTAGGTATTTCTGGCTACGACAATGGTGTTATGGTTATATTTTTTAAATTTCTTATTTTTAGAGATACATACAGAAATATTTACAGATTAAATGAGATGATGCCCGTGATTTGCTTGAAGTAATCTTGGGGATGGAGAGAAAGGGGGTAGGGGTATAGATGTAACAAGATTGGCCATGAGTTGAAACTGGGGTATGGGGTATATGGAAGTTTACTATTTTTGTTTGTGTTTAAGATTTTCCATGAAAAGTTAGAAAATATATATCCAGGCAGAAAAAAGCTTACGTATAAAAAGATGTTTAAACTATACAAAATATATGAGTGAATATATGGCTGATCTGAATTGTGAGTGACTTTCTAAGCATAAAATAAATGAGTAATATACTAAAGACTGCCACTTTAACTAAAATAAAGACTAAAAATGTGTGTATGCTTTAAAAATATCATAAAATTAAAAGATAAACGCTCTAAGAAAAATACTTGCAACTTATGACAAATAAAAGATGAAAATGCTTAGTATATAAGGGAGTTAATAGTAGCTAACACATTGTGCTTATAATACACTAGGCACTCTTATAAGCACTACAAAAACCATTTAAGTTATTATAAAATAGAAAAAGTACTAATATTCCATGGCCTTACAGATAATTCATGAAAGAATTTCAACTAATCAATAAACAAATAAATATATATTTAACTTCACAATACTCAAATAATTGCAATTTAAATTATACTAAGATTTTAACGTACCAAAATAGTGAAGATTTGTATTAATGATAAACATCTGTTGTTGATGGTGCAGTGAAATGGCTGACTTCTTACATTGCTGGTGGGTGTGTAAGTTGGAAGAATCTTTCTAGAGAGGAATTCAGCAATATTAATTGAGTCTTGAAAACAATTATACCTTTGACCCTATTATTATGCTTTCAGGAATGTATAGCATTGACATGATCAGAGATGCATATGAAGATGTATGTGCTGGGCAGTTCATAAGAGTTTTGTTTGTAATACAGAAAAATTGGAAGCAACCTAAATTCCAAAAAGAAAAAAAAAGGAGCAGTTAAATAAATTATGGAACATCAATACCTTGGAATATTAGGGAACCCTTAAAGTCGTGTTTTCAAGTGGAAGCTAACCCATCAACAGGTGAATGGATACTGTAATTGCGGGGTATCCGTACAATGAGATATTATTCAGCAATAGAAAGAAATGGATAACTGATACACACAACAAAGTAAATGAATGTCAAAACATTATGCAGATTTATATGGTGACTGACAAATAATGTACAACTGAAAACACAATGTTATAAACTATTATGACATCAATAAAAAAAATTTTTTAAAAACACTATGCAGAGCAAAAAAACAAGTCAGACAGAAAAAAGGAGACTACACTAAGTCCATTTATATGGAATTCTAGAATAGGCAAAACATATCTCTGGCTAAAGAAGTCAGATTAGTGGTCGCCTCTGAGGCAAGTCTGGAGATTGACTTAGTGGGGACATGAGACAAGTTTCTGGGAGGATGGAAATGTTCCGTATCTTGATGGGTGTGCGTTAACTGGGGATTCCTTTTGTCAAACTCATCTCCCTTACCTACTCAATTTCTGCTCAGACTTCATGTAAGATCTAGCCTTTGACTCTATGTAAATTAGACCCCAAAAGATCACATTTTCCAAGAAGACAATGAAATAGACAAAATATTCAATTTACAGCATGGCTTGACAATAGGTGTGTCAGTGCATGCCCAGGATCCAAACCGGGAGACCCCGGGCCGCCGCAGCGGAGTGCACACACTTAACCGCTTGCGCCACGGGGCCAGCCCCCTCAATTTACAGTCTTAATTGGAAAAAAGAACCATGATACCATGCTATGTATATAGTATGGTCCTAATTATGTAAAAGAAAATACATGAATGTAGATAAGATACACAGATAGAAATGACAAGAAGGATATATTCCAATGAACATGTACAACTTTGATTATTAGAAAAAACAGTAAATATTCTTGAAACTTCACTTTATACCAAATTCTCTTTTTCTCTTTACATTCTAGCTTTGGCCTTCTTGCAGTTCCTCAAATACAGAACTTGTGTCTCCTATGCCTCTGATGACCTCCTCATTCCCTCCAGCTTTTTATTTCCTGCTCAGCCTTCAGCTCTCAGATCAATCTTCACCTCCCTAGAGAAGTTCTCTGTGCCCTCCCCTCCCCTCCCCTCCCCTCCCCAGCCTGGGTCAAGCACATTATGCCTTTCCTTTATGGCACTTAACAATCGTAATTTTTCATTTCTTTGCATATACCTTGAGTTAGCCAAACTGCAAGGTTAAGGGCATTGTCCAATAGGTGCCAGGGCATTGTCCAATAAGTGCCAAGTCTCCCTAAGACTTCTGATACCAACTGCAAGTTTGGGGATTTTCCAAAACCACCCTCAGTTTCAATAATTTGCTGGAGAAACTCACAACTCACTGAAACCTATTATACTCATGGCTACATTTATTACAGGGGAAGAATGCAAATTAGAACCAGCCAAAGTTGGAGAGACACATAGAGGAGAGTCTGGGCAGTTCGCAACTGTGAAGCTTCTCTTGGCCTCAGGATGCATTACCCTCCTAGCATTTAAGTGTTACAATATGCCCGGAGTATTATCCATCCAGGAAGCTCACCTGAGCACCAGAGTCAAAAGGTTTTATTGAGGGTTCATTGCATAGGCATGATTGATTGATTGATTGCCCACATGGTTGAACTCAATCTCTAAATCTTTCTGGCTTTCTGGCTGTGGCCAGCTTCTGTCCTAAGACTATTGGGTGTGATTGTCCCCACCCTGAGAAACTCCTTAGCATAAACTATCAGGTGTGATATGAGGGTCTCACAATGAATAACAAAGACACTCCTTTCACTCTTGGGAAATTCCAAGGGTTTAGAGGTTACTTCCCAGGAACTGGGGCGGGGGGATGGGAGGCGTGCAGGGAGGACGCACCAGACCTCTCTTTGAGCTGGCCAAATTCTTTTTTTTTTTTTTTTAAAGATTTTATTTATTTATTTTTTCCCCCAAAGCCCCAGTAGACAGTTGTATGTCATAGCTGCACATCCTTTTAGTTGCTGTATGTGGGACACGGCCCCATCATGGCCGGAGAAGCGGTGCGTCAGTGTGCGCCCGGGATCCGAACCCGGGCCACCAGCAGCGGAGCACACGCACTTAACCGCTAAGCCACGGGGCCGGCCCTGAGCTGGCCAAAGTCTTGCTATACAGCATGGTTATGTAAATAACGCCCCCTACCCTTCTCAGTTCCAAAAGGCTTGGATCTCATCTGGTTTTGCTCCCCGTCTCATCCCTAGCACCTAACATGGTGGTTGGCAAACACTGAGAGGCTGCATAAGATAGTAATTTATAGCATGGCATTGGCAGAGTCTGAATTTGAATCTTAACTCTTCGTTTCACTGACTGGGTTGACCCTGGACAGGTTATTTAACTTCTCACTGCCTAACTGTCCTCATCTGCAAATTGGGGGCGATGATCATACCTATCTCAGTGAGTTGCAAGGAGGATTAAATGAATGACTATCAGTGAAGTTCTCAGAATAGCGCCTGGCACAGAGTAAAAGCTAGATAAATGTTTAATATTATTAAATGATCAATAAATAATTGTTGATTGAATAAGTGCCTAGCACATGAGAGGTGCTTAGTAAATATTAATTGAAAGAATATCAAATAAGATCTTCTTTAGTGGCTTTTCCCATCTTTCTATTAGTATTGTATCAGATGTATTGATTTGGACGTGTCATCAATATGCCTGATTTTCAGCTCTCAAATCAAATATTGTTCTAAAGATTATAGCTCTATAATATGCTTAAGAAAAGTACAAAAAAAGTTTCAGAGTCTTTTCGCCTCTCCAGCAAGCGGTACCCTCAACCATAGAGTGAGGGGTTGACTTAGATAGGGTCCAAGGTGTCTTCCAACACCAACGAAATGTTATTTGTCCTTAGGAAACAAACTAGATATAACAACAGAGAAGACCATTTTACATGGAGGCATGAAACCTTTGACTGTGTAAGTTTCCATTAAAAAAAAGGAATCAAGGAACATTCGGTCGATTACCAAAATTCATCTTTAATATGTGAAAACATAGGTTTGAATTGTGGCAATGAAATTTTATTAATTTGATGGAATTCGACTCCCCCGCGAACCACACACAAAGGTCATAGAAAATTTATTTTAACCTGTGAGAAATGGTTTATTTTATCTTGTCACTTAAACTGGCCTAATGTGAGTGTCTGGAAGGTGATTGATAATAGAATCAGTGACGTCTCCAAGCAAGAGATTAAACACCTTCAAATAATACTATTAGCAATTAGAAAAAAGAAGCAACTTTTTAAAACATTCATTTTAGTTATGAAGTAATGCATATCCATTTAAATACAATAACCAAATGTTTTTAAATTGATGTATTATTATTCACCAGTTATGAAATTTTTTGTGTGTGTGTGTGAGGAAGACCAGCCCTGAGCTAACATCCGATGCCAATCCTCCTCTTTTTTGCTGAGGAAGACTGGCCTTGGGCTAACATCCGTGCCCATCTTCCTCTACTTTATATGGGATGCCGCCACAGCATGGCTTGAGAAGCGGTGCGTCGGTGCTCGCCCAGGATCCGAACCTTTGAACCCCGGGCCGCCACAGTGGAGCGCGCACACTTAACCGCTTGCGCCACCGGCCAGACCCATTAAATTATTTAATAACAAAAAGTAAATATGTTCCAACAACTCTTCTTACCATGTTTATTTTCCAAAGATAGCAAATGTTAACAATTTGTTCCACATATTTCTATGCATATACACACAATAAAAAATATGTATGTATGCCCATTATTAAAAGTATTTATAAAGTGTTACTTTTTTGTTGCCATTTTAGTGTTACCACAGGCAGTCACCCAGTTTGAAGAATTGGTTGGCATGGCGGAGTCTCTGCTTAAGGGTGGAGGAACCATGGCTACATCAGCGTCCACCCTCTGGAGAGCAACGAACAACTCCTCACCAGATTCATTTGCCTCAACGTGGAGTAATTCTAATTCTAATTCCAGTTCACCAATTTCCTTGAAAGCTGATGAAGAGCATCATGCCGGTGAGCAACAGGTCTGTCGAAATACTTGCCCTACCTTTCTCTAGGATACAGTTAAATATAAAAATTAAAATAAGAGTACAAAATGATCGTTCTTTTATCAGATAACTTTAGGTAACTTTAGGTCACAACCATAACATTCCAATTGCATAAAACAATTTTTTTTTACAATAAATCTAATATTTGTAAAACAAATTTCCAGTTTAGAAAACTAAAGTCAAATTGTGGACAACGATGAAGTTATTAAACTAGAAAATTCTTCAACCAATGACAGAAGGATAACTATGCATTAAGGGTTTTAAAATTATAACCCTGAGAGAAGGTAAATTTCAGCCTCTGCATGCTGGCTGAACACAATTCTTTTTCTACTTTCCCAATTTCTCTTAATCAAGAAACAGAGGCTAAAAAGGCAAGAGTTTTGTTAAAATCAGGTATCAGCCTCGGAAAATATGCCTTCAAGACCAATAATTAAATAATAACAATCTAACATTCAAAATATTTGAATCTTGGGCCGGCCCTGTGGCTTAGCGGTTTAGTGCGTGCGCTCCGCTGCTGGCGGCCGGGGTTCGGATCCCAGGTGGGCACCGACGCACCGCTTCTCCGGCCATGCTGAGGCCGTGTCCCACATACAGCAACTAGAAGGATGTGCAACTATGACATACAACTATCTACTGGGGCTTTGGGGAAAAAAAATAAAAAAATAAAAATTATATTAAAAAAACAAAAAAAAAATATTTGAATTTTAGTGTGTCCGTTTCCGTGTAACAGATTACCACAAATTTAGTGATTTATAATAATACAAATTTATTACCTCAGAGTTCTGTAGGTCAGAAGTGCGGTCAAACAAAGGTGTCCTCCTTTCTGGAGGCTCTCTGGAGGAATCTGTTTCCTGCTCATTTGGGTTGTTGTAGAATTCAGTTTCTTGTGGTTGTAGAACTGAGTTCCCTGTTTTCTTGCTGATTGTAAACTGAAGGCCATTCCTGCTTCAGAGGCAAGCACATTCCTTGGTTTGTGGTCCACTTCTGCCATCTTCAAAGCCAGCCATGGCAGGCAAAATCCCTCTCTTCTAATCTGTCCTCCTTCTGTGTCTTTTTTCTGACCCACTCCTATGCCTCCCTCTTTTACGTTTAAGGGCTCCTGTGATTAGATGGGGCCCACCTGGATAATCCAGGATAATTACCCCATCTCAAGGTACTTAACTCTTAATCACACCTCCAAAGTTGTTTGTCCCATATAAGGTAACATATTCACAGGTTCCAGGGATTAGGATGTGGCTATCTTCAGTGAGACGTTATTCTGCCTACCACACTGAGTAGGAAGTGTTGAGGATGGGACTAATCCTTAAAGCACCAAATCCAGATTACATGACAAGAATTTGTATATACTCTGGAACAAATACCTCATAAATGTTGGGAATTATCTCAAAGATAACATTTAACTCTAACCCCTGAAATGTAAAATATATATTAAAAGTATAATATGTCACCTTAAAAAATGGTTTTGTTTTCTGATATGTCTTAATTAGTAACATATTTCTCCAGGTATTACTTCTCTTTTCTTTTTCTAATTTGAGTTTTTTTTTTTTTTTAGTTCAAGATTGAAAAATGGCAGATTGCCCGTTGTAACAAGAGCAAACCTCAGAAGTTTATTAATGATTTAATGCAAGTACTTTACACAAATGAATACATGGCCACACACAGTCTGACAGGGGCAAAATCCTCTACTTCAAGGGACAAAGCCGTAAAACCAGCTATGAATCAGAATGAAGTCCAAGAAATCATAGGTGATAATATGATTGCATTATATTGTCACATGAATTTGAAATTATTTTACCACTCAAGGTTGTTATCTTTTCATGGCCTTTGTTTTTTCTAATTTATTTTTCAATGAAAGAAAAATATCAGGATAGTCTAAATCTCTTATTAAATATGGAAAATTTTGTAGAAAAACTTTACATTAAAAGTTATTATTGGACCAGCCCAGTGGCGTAAGCAGTTAAGTGCGTGCGCTCCACTGCGGCGGCCCAGGGTTCGCCGGTTCGGATCCTGGGCGCGCGCCGACGCACCGCTTGTTGAGCCATGCTGTGGCAGCGTCCCATGTAAAGCAGAGGAAGATGGGCACAGATGTTAGCTCAGGGCCAGTCTTCCTTAGAAAAAAGAGGAGGATTGGCATCGGATGTTAGCTCAGGGGTGATCTTCCTCACCAAAAAAAAAAAAAAAGTTATTTTTAAAATGAAACCAAATTTTATATCACTGAAAAATTTGGATTCATAAAATTCATAGCTTTAGGAATGTAAATTTTCAAAATCCTTTGAAACAAAATTTCAATAATAGTTTGCATCTTATTTTCTCTTTCTGATCTTGGTTATATCCCTTATCTTTTATTCTAAAAAAATAGAAGTTAATTTGACTATCCTGTTTATGGTTTTTAAGTTATTGAATCTCCTAAAATATACTAATCTAGATTATCAAATAATTTTTTTTGCAACTATCCAACAAATTTAGGGAATCCCTGAATCCCAGCTCTCCAAATGTCAATAGTATGTCATTTCTTAGTTGGAAAGGGGTCAGTCAGAATCTAATTGTTTCAGCTGATGTTGGGAATGGATAAAAATAAATTCCTAACATTTTGGAGCAAGGGGACTTGCTCCAAAGAGCAAGAAGAGTTCAGAGCAAGTAGCAAGGTTCAAGTTGAGTGGTACCGCAGGAAGACAAATATGTATGCTCTCAGTTTATAACATAGACCTTCCTCATCTCTTGCTTTGCTCTGAAAAACCTGCCTATATATTCATCTATTTAAATATCTCAGGGGTGTTTGGGCTGCTTTTGCAAAATAGAGACAAAATTATAATGCGGATTGTTTGATGTTCTATCTCAGTTCATACTTACAGATGCAAAGGCCTCATTAAGTGTTTTGTGTGTTATTGTTGTTGTTTTCACAGGAGTCACAAAACAGTTATTCCCCAACACAGATGATGTTTCTATCAGGAGAATGATAGGGCAAAAGCTGAACAACTGTACCAAGAAGCCAAATTTAAGCAAAAATCTGAACTCTCAGGATATTAGGCAGATCCTTTTGGTAAGTCTTCTAAATCTTCACAATCTTTTCAAGGTGGCACGGAGATGTAATACTTCTATCCCTGGAATAGCATTTTCTGAACTCTCTACTAGAGAGTACTCATGGCCTGTAAATTGCTAATAGGTGTTCCTGAGGGTGACAGTGGGACAGGAAGGGGATGTAAATTTGGGAAATGCTGAGTTCAGATTTTCCTTTCCCAGAACCTCTCAGATATTTTGATACCCATGCACACCAGAAATCTCTAAGAAGGGGGTATAGTATGTAGTGTTTTCCAGAAGAACTTTTTCTTCTTTATAGAGCATTTGGTAACCTGTGGGTAAAGGTAGAAAGGAGCCAAAGGAGGGACACAGGACAATTTAGAAGTGTTTCTCCAGAACAGGGGAGATGCAGACCCTTGGGAAATCTCTGAGGTGCGTCAAGGGGACTGAACTTCAACTCTACACAGCTTTGACCTGTGTACAAACTACTGGCTGGAAGTATTGAGGGGTCTCCTCCACCATCCTCCGTTCTGCTTCTCATTGTCTTGAAGTCTTTAAATCTGTTGTTATAGTTTGTATTTGTTTGATAAGGATTTTTACCAAGATGTTTCTATTGTACTAAGAAAAGGAATTACTTGTTTTTAGTGAGTTCTGAAGGAAATCACTCGATAGTCAGGCCCTGCCCTGGGCAAAACTGTGACTTGGAATTTTGTGTTTGCTTTAGCAACCCAGTGTCCTGGGCATTTCACCCATGCTCACCCTTCCTCTCCATTATTTTGATGGAAAATATGTGAAAAATATGCATTATTGTGTTATTAATATTTTAATTGATAAGAGCTATATGGTAAACACATGAGGGCAGGGTTTTCCCCATTTTCTTTACTTCTCTCTTTGACTTCCACTTTGCCTGTTTTGCGCCTAACTATAGCCACCTCTGAGACCATTTTACGTCTCTCTTTCTTCTGACCATGTTTTAAACGGATGTGGAACTGCATATAATGCCGTAATTCCCCCACCCACACTGTACCCATTGCTGACTATCACCCCTATCCTCCTTGAGGGTCCCTTACTATTTTGCTAGACAACTAAGGTAAGCTCGATGAGGGTCGACAATAGTCTCTCTTCCCAAAAAAAGAACAACTTATAACAACTGCAGGGGGATTATTTCCCTTGGCTCATATATACTGGTAGACTGACTTGAAGATTTATAAAAGATAAAGATACTGTATCCTTTTTCTCCCCAAGTGATTAAAAATTTCAGTAGATTGTGAATCTCACAACTTCCCAGTTGGGAGATAATTGCTTAAATGAGCACTTAGAACTTGTCATTTTGACATGAGGCTACCCAGTTATCCTGGGGTATGATGGCCAAGTTCCCATAAATGCTGTGAAACCAGACCTCCAAGTTATAGAGCTATCTTTTGGAGCACATTATTGTACGTCAGAGCTCTGCAAAGCATTTTAATATCCTAACTTCTGCCTTTTTAATATCTCAGACTGCCAAGGGTAGGCACAAAACTCATATCAGTCAGCAGATTGCTGAAGATATTAAAGTTAAAAGGTTTTCATATCAGTTTTGCTTGTACTTGCCAGTAGTAGTATTATTAAGTCACCTGGCTGTGGCATTAATTAAAATTGAAGAAAGGAACAAATCTTTTGCTATGAACACAATACGTTCTGGGCCCAAGCCTTGCTTTGTTGCCAAGTTGCTTAGAACAGAAATGCATATATTTGAACAGAAGTAGAGTTTAACACTAGAATGTGAAAAGAAATCTTTAACTGGCAGATATCTTTCATTTAAAGTATGGCTAAATCCACATTATTTCCAAAAGACTGAGAAAATATCCTGGGAAAGACAGGGTCACATAAAACCGAATTTAGCCATGCTTGATGAATTAGATATAGCACCATCTAGTGGAATGCTTCTGTATTTTTCTCTTGGTTATTTAACTAACAGGAGCCTGAAGGTGACTACACTTATTCAAGCAAACCATACCTCCTCCTCACTCTGCCCCAAAAAGTATTCTTTGGAAAAATAACTTTCCTCGTATTACTATGACGGAGACAATATGTGCTGCAAAATCATGTAGACTTCTACGAATTCCTGTACATCCAGGAAGCCTGGCCACTCCCACCCATGGGCCCTGTGGTGCACTGTGCCCTCCACCCAGTACTGAACTCAAGGTTGCCCCTAGTGGCTTGGATTTGAAAGGACAGTCATTTCCCAGCCAAGACTCATTTCTGTGAGGATAAGCACTGAATTCCATCCTTCCCCCTTTCTCATCTATTCTCTCTCACTCCTGTGACTGCCCTCAAGTTCCTTCAGCTAACACTTTCCCAAGAGCTCAATGTTGCCAATCTTTCTCGCCTTTCTCCATGTTTTGCTTCTTTCTTACAGGAGCTGAGGAAAATTTTATTTACAAGAATTACACAATATTAGACTATCACTGCCATAACACCCCACTAAGTGGTCAAGCAGCCTTCTCCTGAAATTTCCAAAGCTGCCTCAGTGTATATAATCTCTACCATAGTATCACATATGCATATATTATAACTTAAAGATGATCTAATTCAGAGTGCTCAAATGGGGTGGGAGGGATTTTGTCCCCTGCCCCTCAACCGGGGAATATTTGAAAATGTCTGGAGATATTTTTGGTTGTCACAACTGGGTGATACTACTGGCATCTAGTGGACAGAAGCCAGGGATGCTGCGAAACACCTCACAATGCATAGGACAGCCCCCCACAACAAAGAATTACCCAGTCCAAAATGTCAGTTGTGCCGAGGTTGAGAAATCTTGGTCTAAAATGATTTCCTCAGGGCCAATCTTCCTGACCTAAATAAATAAATAAATAGTAAATGAATAAATAAATAGATAGATAGATAGACAGATAAATAAATAAATAAATAAATAATGATTTCCTTATTTTGGAGATAATGAAACTATAGTCTGAAGAGGTTAAGTGAATTGCCAAGGTCATACGACTACTAACTAGTGGAGAGGCAATACTGGCATATAGTTCTTTGTACTTCTTATTGCATTAGTCATGGTTCTCCAGAGAAACAGAATCAATAGGATGTTAACAGAGAGAGATTTATTTTAAGGAATTGGCACACACAATTGTGGGGACTGGTAAGTCTGAAATCTACAGGACAGGACAGCAGGCTGGAGCCCCAGGGAAGAGTTGATGTTGCAGTCTTGAGTTCAAAGGCTGTCTGGAGGCGGAATTCCTCCTTTCTCAGAGGACCTCAGTCTTTTCTTTTAAGGCCTTCAACTGATTGGGTGAGACCCACCCACATTATGGAGGGTAATCTGCTTTACTGAAAATGTACTGATTTAAATGTTAATCTTATCTAAAAAATACTTTCACAGCAATGTCTAGACTGGTGTTTGACCCAACAACTGGGTACCATAGCCTCGCCAAGTTGACACATAAAATTAAATGTTTTAGGGTCAGAAAGTCTAGTTGTGAAGCCTGCACCACCTCTTAATAACTGTCTGGCCTTTGGAAAGTCACTTGACCTCTCTGAACTTTAATTTAAACAGGGATAATAGTACTATCTACCTCAAGAATGGATCCAGGATTTGTGGAACCTGAAGCTTAACAGAATTTGGGGAACTCTCTTTAGGAAAAGAAACACAAAATTACGAATACACAATCAGTTACAATTCTACATAATAATTTTGAATAAATAAATAATTAAAACTACATAATGTTTAAAAGTTAACAAATTTCTCAAATATCACATAATATAGGGAAAATTACAAAATATTTTTATCAACAGCTCTATAATACTTTTACCCTACTTTTTTTTGGTTGCATACATGTTGATTGCCTCTTCATTTGACAATGATTTTGTAATAGCCTTTTCTATAGAAAGAATAGATAAATAATTTATATTATCCTCTAGCACCGCTAATGGAAAATTGCTTTTTTTTCTTTTTGAGAGTTTACAGAGGTTTCTTTCAAATTCTCAACTCTTTATTAGCAATGTAATTTTTAGCATTGTTGTCAAATTTGGGGAAACCTGTACTGAGTCTCTTTGATATCTGAGCTATAAGATTTCAGGGCACTTCAAGTTTTCTATGAGTGAGTGCTCTTAAATATTCTTTGAATTGACCATATTTATAGGATTCGTAGAAGATATGGCAAACTAGACTGGCCAGCAATAATGTAACTATATATGGAAGGGATTGCAAAGCACAAAAATATATCCCAATACTTAACAAAATCTCAGAAATGCCCACTGCCACTCCAGGCTTACAATCAGAGGAGAAAATATGACTGAGGGGCAATTGAAATGAAGACAGTGGTCTTAACCGATTATGGTTGAAATATCTAATTTTGGCAAATTTAACAAAAATATATAAACATATGAAGATATTGCTAGGGTCCCTTTTTTGTCTGTGTGTGAGAAAGATTGGCCCTGAGCCAACATCTGCCAATCCTCTTTTTGCGGAGGAAGACCAGGCGTGGGCTAACATCCATGCCCATCTTCCTCCACTTTACATGGGACGCTGCCACAGCATGGCTTGCCAAGCGGTGCATCAATGCGCGCCCAGGATGGGAACCAGCAAACCCTGGGCCGCCACGGCAGGGCGCGCGCACCTAACCCCTTGCACCACCAGGCCAGCCCCTAGGGTCCCTTTTTTGGAAGGTACTCATGCAAGTAAGCTTTATTAGCTTCACAGTAATTCTACCTCTGACCTAGCGCATTTGATTTTTTTTTAGTTTTGAAAGAGCTAAAGCAGATTTGGGAAGTTGCCTGATGTTTAAACAATCAATAAATGTTACTGAAGAATGACCAAACAGAATTGTTGATAATTTTTTAAGATGGTTGATGGGTAAGTGGGGATGGTTCATTTTACTTTGTGTGTTTGAAATTTTATCTAATTAAAAAGTTTTTTAAAAGTCATTTGAGATAAAAATATATATTAAATATTTTAACTGTTTTCTGTGCTGGAATTCCTCTAAATAGATCATAAAATGATTTCTAAGTCATCTCAATAGTAATAGTTCTTATGAGCAATTGGTACTTTTAAGCAAAAATTTGTGGTCAACACAAAAATAAATAACTCATACAACTCAAAAATACTATAAGAACTCTAACATAAATTTGCTGTTTTTTGAAATTTGATTTTTTTGGTATTATAGGTACCTGAAACAAAGCACCTTCAGTTCTAAATCTAACATTGGGTTTTGTTGGAGAATCTGCAGCCTCCCTGGCCGTGCGCACAGAGAGACCTGGTGACAGGCTATGGGACATGTGTACACGGATGGGCTCTCCTGATGCACCAACAAGCTCGCTGAGGAAGCTGCATGAAGATTCCACCCTAAATACCAGTGATGCATCAAACCAGAGAATTTCTAGCAGCCAAATAAGCATGCAATATGGTTTCTTGGAAATATGCATTTTCCCATCCCAAAATGCTTCTCTGTACAGCTAACTTAACAGGATAGTCGGAGCTCTTATCATAACAACAAAGACTTCAACCCCTAAGATTCATCATCATCTGAATCAATTGCTGTACCTTTGTTATTACCATACCTTTCCACTTTAGTTTTTGGATCTTTAGCATAAGCACATGTTTGGAAAGGTAAACAGTGAAGTAATCCATGTTCACAAACATGAGAGCAGCAAAGCCAGCCTAAAATCTTATAATCATATCTAACCAGGTAATCGTGTTTTAGCAATAAAATTACAGGATTATTCTGTTACCTAAAAATGTATAAAATGGGAATCTGAAAAAAATGACAGCAGCAAGACCTTTTTATTTTAATATGAAACTATTCCACTGTACTCGAAAAAGAAATAAACCCACGTTTTTGTGACTGTTAAAACAATACATCAACTTTCAGAAAAACTCTTTTTATGCTTCTTTGTTTACATGCTTCTAACTTTTTATTGCCCAAAGTATATTAAATACAGATGTGTCACATAAAACATCAGTATCATCTAAAACATCCTATATAAAATATAACATCCTGTGTGTCTAGTTGGTTATATTGCTACACTGCTTAGTTTTAACTGGTCTGTTTTCATAGTATCAGAAGAAAAAAGAATTGAAAACAAAATCGTATGGGTTTGATAATCACACAAAAAGACAAATACCATTTTGTAAATGAATGAAAGATAAAACATTCTTCATCAAGAGGCTTCTCCTCTGATGTCAAGTTGTCACACGTGACAACTCTATAATGCCAAACCATGCTTCTTCAGTGCACAAGGTCATGTTTAAACTTGGAAAAGAGGATGTGTAGCATAGTTAGAAACTTCAGTACTGTGGACCCAGGGAACGTCCCATAAATGTTGCTTGATAACAATGTGGTTGTACAAAATAAATATTCTTAAGGAAATAACTTATGTTAACATTTGCTACTTTTACCTAAATATAAATAAATCCCATTGAGAACATAAAAAGTATTTGGTTGTTTCTTATTAATATAAAATCCAGGGGAAATATCCTATTCTAGGCCGATGGCTTCTTTACCTATATATTGAGGCATTTCCATTATAACTGGAGTATGTGGCTCTGGCTTGTTTGTCTTTTATTT